TACGTGGATTACCAATTTTATAGATGGAATTAATTTTGGTTTCACTCGCCGCATTGTGTAATGAATCTCCATATATGCTTAATGGTCGAATTTTAGTATTCACCCCTACGGTAAAAATCGTGGCAAAATTAGGAGTCTTGTAACCTCTTGAAAGAGGTACCAATATTTTACATCCTTAGGGTAAGGATTATATTGGAATTAATTTGGATCCCAAAATAACTCTTCATTATATCAGCTATGTTATTTGGATCTATTTATTTTTTCCCAGGAGGTCTAGCGTAAATTGTAACTTAATAGTGCCACTTATTGACAGAGGGGTTTTGGAAACCATGTTGAAACTAAACTTTAGGTGATGGGTAATGGTTTCTCGTGGTTCACTTCTATAGTATTTTTCCTATGAGTTCCAAATATGTATGTTGTGTTACTTTGTTAAGGCGGATTCTTAATCCATGTCAGTTCACCAACATAACAATCAATTGTTCGAGGTATAGTCAAAACCATCAAGGGAGGTACATGTGAATTCCGTCATTTTAGGTATGTTAGGGGGTTAGATTATACATGTTGGGTATTTTTCCATGGTTGCTAAATTATATAATCTCTAACTAGTCTTTGAATTCTTGATGGTGGGGTAAAGATGTTTTCTCCATTGTAAGACATGTTGTTTACTTATGCAACACTACCATAAAGAGATACTTGTGCCACACTAATTTATCTTATAACCTTAGATGGCATCTTTTCCATATGTACTTATTTAAGTTGAATGTTATCCTAACTATACATATCATTCTCCATTATGTTCTCTAAATGTTAGTCATGGAAAAATACTAGAATGGGAATAACAGGGTAAAAGTACCAATTATATAAGACTCAATTGGACCAGGGCAGACCCTATTGTCGTGTTGGTTAACATATTTTGGCATAACTGTCATTTAATCTAGATTGTTCAGTCACTAAATCTATGGCATGCTTAAATTAATTATGAATCATAGGTCTTACAATATCATCAAGATGTTGAGAATCCTGATACACAATTTCATGTATCCCAAGTCTAGTCATTGCCATTGGTTACTTAGATAGAACAATTGTCGTAATTCCAAATGAAGCGGGAAAAGGCACATTAATTGGGGTGCTCAAACCTCATGAAATTTCATCTAATAGTTGTTGGTATTACCTCCTTGTAGATTATAATGATGGTTAATCCATACTGGTGAGGCTCTTTTCAAACCAAAACTGCATATGTAAAGTGTAATTGTGACTTGGTGATTGAAATTTAATAGTGGTATTAATCAAATAATCTCATTGAGCACGTCAAATTGGTTGCCCAATGTAAAATTTTAGTTGAAATTAGACCAATATATCTCTTAACAATGATTTACCTTTATTCAAACAATTGCACAATGTGAAAGTTTTGTCCTTCTTAACTATTCCAAAGAGTATTAAGTATTGATGTGAAAAGTTGAACTACTAGCCAAAGAAATGTCTTAATATAAATTTAATAAAGATGATAAAGTCTTTAAAATAACTTTAATTGAATGATTGATCAAAGAAAAAATTACACGAGAGGTCCTATAAGTTATTTTTTGTAACAGGTTGGTCCTTTAAGTATTTGTTTTTAACAACTTGACCCTTTAAGTTACCAAACGGGTACACCATTATCCTTTTTTAAAAGTTTCATTTCAAAAATGAATATGTGGCATTAACGTGAGTGAGGTGTTAGTAATGATGATTACATGTAATTTTAATGTAAATTAGTAACAAGAGACGAACACAGAAATGCCTAAATTCCAAACTAAGAAATGGAAGACGCACGAGTACCTAAACAAGATTCTGACCCCTAACACCCCTAAATTGAAAAGAAAATAATATATATATATATATACACACACACACACACACACACACACACACTATACCATGACACATGTGACGCCAGCCACACTGGTGCGAAACTCAGAATCTGCATTTTCACTATCAATGCTTGTTCGAAGCTCCAATTTCGACCTCAGCACCTCCAAATCGCACAAAAAAATGCATATTATACGACAATTAAACATCACATATGCATCAATTATTATCTAAATTCATCAATTAATCATGAATTCAAGACTTTGTTCATAAAACTAAACACACAACAATGATTGTGATAACATTTAGATTCATACTCATTCATTATGCATAAAATTCAGCCGTACTCATAGCAAAATTTATACATTAAACTTCACAATTAGCATGAATTTCATATGATCATAATAAAAATATCATAAAGCATAACAACGATGAAAAATACCTAGAAAAGGGTGAGAACCTCCCTCTACCCTTCATGCAATAACACCTATGTTAGAGTAGCCCCTACTTGAATTTCTAGCAGTTAATCAAGTTTGACTATGGTGTTCTTCTTCTTCCTTAAGCCATTATTCTCCATCTCTCACTCTTGCCTCATTTCCCCAAATTGCACAGTTTCTACGTACCGACAAGTTTGGCTCCCATCACTCCACTATTTATTTTAACTTAAAATTATAATTAACTCACTTTCACACTTTTACCCCTCAACTCACCTCTACATTCTCCTCTTTTCCTTATTTTTCTAATAATTTCACTTTTGTCCCAACATCACTATTTCTCTTATTTTTTATTTAATTAATTATTATTATATTATTATTTTAATCATTTAAAATTAACTAAAAATCTAATTAATTTTTGCTACTATCTATCACTCCCACAAAATCACTCACAAATTGTCAAATGATCACATATCACATATTATCCCTGAAATAAATAATTTAAATGCATTTTAAATCACTTAAACAGTTAAATAAAAGAAACAAAATTCAATTAAGTAAACTAATTGAATTCGGGGGGCTACATTTCATTCACTTCGAATTCATCCCAGGTTGATCATTTTGGCCAGCAATAAATCCTCTTACTTCTACTAACACCTCATCACCCGAGTCATCAAACATGCACCATAATGTATTGTCATCACTTTGTTCATTATGGTCAGTTTGAGCTTCTATTAGATTTTGGGCATCTTAGACAGTTTTGACATTTTGTTCAGGTATCTTAGAAAGGGCCTCAGGTTGTGGGTTAGTATGGATCTCAGTTTGGTCAATTTGTGGTTCAACTACTTCTATTACTTCAGGTTGGGAAATATGGTGAACAATGTATTGGTCTACCTTTTCGTTAGTCTTGGACCAACTTAGCAATTCTATTGCACCAAAGTCATTTTTTAGCGACTTTAATTTACCAACAAAATCATACCCCATTTCAAATACCCATGGATACCCCATTTCTTTAACAACATCCAAAATTTTAAAATAACTCCATCTATCACCATCACACTTCTAATTTGACACTTCTCCTTCTACATATGTACCTTTATCATCAAACTTCCCCTATGATGAAAATCAACATAAAAATATCCATTTTTTTTATTTTGTTTACATCAACAATAATCTCATTACTCTATAAAAAGCAACATTACATTATGCTACCCTTTGTTTACCATTGTTTAGGGACTCACGCGTCTTCCATTTCTCAGTTTTGGATTTAAGGAATTTTGCGTTCGTCTCTTGTTATTAATTTACTTTAAAATTTCATGCATCACTATTACTATTACTGACATATTACTCACGTTAATGCCACATATTCATTTTTAAAATAGAATTTTTAGAAAAGAGTAACGGTGTACATATTTGATAATTTAAAGGATCAAATTGTTAAGAAAAAAAATATGAAGGACCAACTAGTTAAAAGAAATAACTTAAAAAACCCTTGGTGTAACTTTGTCTCGATTAAATGTTGTTTGAAATTTATAAAGCATGATAGTTATTGAAGAAATTATCTTATTGGCCATAGCATCATGGAATGCAGAAAATGTTTTCTACTTCGACTATTTAAGCATGTAATGCGTGATTGTTCCCCACCAACTTCGATATATATGGCACCCCACTTTTAACAGTTGTCTTATGTTCCTCGTCATATTTTATTGGTTTTATTCTGTAGTGCACAACTCTCTTAGCTTGTGAATCTGCCATTCTCTTCGTATTCAGTTAGTAATGCTACAAATATGTAATGTGGCAACAAAGCTTATTTATTTGGTATTTACGTGCTTTTGAATAAATTTAAAGTCGCGAAAATCACGTTAGACCCTAGTAGATTTGAGAAAGATTGAGTTGGCTTGCGCTCGATTGCAATTGTGCTCTCTTAACTTTGCCTTATCTAAAAAAAACCAGCTACTATCTTAAATGACATGTTTACCAATCTAGATAGATATTAATTTATTTTTTTAGTCTACACATGCATAATCAAATAACACATTTACTCCCGTCTTGCAATCAATTTTTCTTGGTTATCATTTTGAAATATGGTTTTAGTATATCTTTGACTTTCTTTCGGAAGAGGCAAAAATAAATTCAAAAATATATAACTAATTTTAATATTTAAGAATGTTGAGTACAAAAAATTTTATATCCATTTTCAATTCTATTTTGAAATTATAATTTGGAGTTCTTGCTACCAATATATATTCCACTTATATAGGTTTCATCCTTTAAATTCAATTTCAAATACCACATTAGCCTCTCCAACTTGAGGATCCCATTTGAGTGACAAACCCACTTATGACCCCTCATCGAGATTCCAGAAGAAAAACATCTTTATCTTTCCCTCATCATAAGAATAGCATCAAAAGAGACATAAGAGCTAGTGTCTCTGTAATAGCAGGCCCAAAAAGCACCCTTTACTTTCCTTCACTCCCACCCATTTTGCACCATAAAAACAAAAGACAAACATTTTTGTTCAGTATCCTAGACTGATAACCGAAGATCAGTGATCACTACTATGTCCCATCCCATCTTATTTCTCACTTTACCTCTTTTTATATTCCAAATGTCCATGTTTATGTCACCCTCTCAAGTCTCACCCACATTCAAATTCCTTTACCCTCTTATAAAACCTTAAACATTATTCCTCCCAAACCAAAACTTTTCTTCCTTTCTTAAATGGCAACAAACATTGTCCAACCACAAGTGTCGTCACAATCACAAGAGCAAGATGAAACATTGTCTCTTTCTGATCTTCCACTATCTCTAAACAACCCTTGTAAAGAACAACTCTCTGAAATCAACGAAACAACACAAGAAGAATTCAACTTCCGTTCATGGGTTGGTCTCTTTTCAACCGAACCAAAAATGTGTGTAGCAGATGAAGTTTTCTTCCAAGGACAAATCCTCCCATCGTCGCGTCTCTCGTTTAGCTCAGAAACCGGCTTATTATCCAATCACCACGGTAAGCAATTCAAACCAAACCAAGAATCTTTGAGTTTTAACAACGGTTGTTTCAACGAGTTTCGTAGCAATAGTAGTACAAGTCAAAACTCAACCACATCAAGTAGCACTAGTTCAACAACAAAAACCAAAGTTAGAAACCAGTTTCACACACATCCAAGTCCAAAGCCACAGATAAAATCATCATGTCCAAGAAAGTGTATAACTCAAAGTAGAAAGTCATCGGTTTGGGAAATTTTCCGTTTAGGTGTGGTCCCTACACCAGAAATAGGACTGCAAGACCTAAAGGTTCGCAGCAGTAATCATAGAAACTGTGTAAGTCGCAACAGTAGTAGCAGCAGCAACAGCAATAGTACTAAAAGTGGCCAAATGAGTAAGAAGAAGAACGATAATGGTGGAAAGAGCAATCATGTTTTGAAACACTTAGTTGGTAAACGAGGTGGTTTGTTGAGTGGTTGTGATTGTTCGTTTGAAACGGTGGTGATCAATGGTAGTAGTGGTGTTAAAAGTGATTACAAGACAGAAAGTACTAAGAAGCACGCGGTTAAAGAAAAAGTGATGGAGTGGAAGAAACAAAAGCAAAGACAAAAGCAAGGTAAAAAGGTTTTGTCACGTCGTAGAACGTTTGAGTGGCTTAAAGAATTGCATGCAAATCATCTTGAGGAAGAGGCTTTATTGTCAAACTCGTCATGAACCATATGATATCGTGTTCGTGTAATCAGGATCGTCTAATCTTAACCCTCGCGAATCATGAGTTGTTAGTGACACTGATGATGACACTGACGCGTTAAATTCACCGTTATTCAAACATGCATAGAAATACAATTTAATTGGATGAGAATTATATAATCCAATTCTATGTAAAATGGTTATAGTTTAATTTAGATTTTTTAGATTAGATTGCCTTTTGGGTTGTTAATTTTAGTTCACCTTTAATTTGAATTTAGTTTATAATATTGTAGTAGTGCCAGGCTAAGCAATCAAAATATGTTTATTTTCTAGTGAGGATGATGTTTTAATCAAATTTAATTATTTTTAATAATGTTTTGGGGTTGATTAGAGTGTTTATTAATAATTGATTTGGTTAAGATATTATGGGAGTGATGTTTTGGGGGCATGATAGAGTTGAAAATGATGAGATCCAATATGAGTGAAAATGAGTGCTTATGGTTATCATGATTGAAATGTGAAGTTCAATGCTTTATGGGTGGAGAATGTGGAATAGGAGTTATGATACTGTTCAAAGTCACGCGAGGGAACAAAAGTTTTGTAAAAGATGGAGGTTTTGTTAAGTGGCTAAGTACAAGGCAGGAAAATAGTTTAAGTTGTATTCAAAAAATAGCTATTGGTTTTGGTCATGGAATTGGAGGTGGCAAAGATCAATATGTCATGGATGGTCCAATAACCATGCTTCCTCTTTCTTCTAGCTAGTTGATAAGTTTGGGAATTTTGGCAGTTTAATTAGTTAAAAAAATTTCCCTAACTTTTTTCTATTCCCATTATGAACAAAAGAAAATACATTTGAATTTTAAATTTTAAATACTGGATTGAAAACTACTAGATGTAAGAGATTATTGGTAAATCAAACGCGGGTATGATTGTTTAAAAAATCATAAAATCAAATCGACCCACCTAATCAAAGGAAACACTTGTTAAATAACTAAACTATCTCTTTTGGGTAATGAATCGAACTAGTATTTTTTAAATAGTTCAAAATCAAATCGAAGTGTAGTTAATTGAACTAAAAATGAAAAACTCGAACTTAAGTTAAATATATGGATGATATTCATTGTACATTTTAGTCAAGAAACAGAACCAAACCAGATTGAACTATGTTAAGTTTGACTCATAGTTAATGTCAAGTGGACAAGGGCCGAAGCAGTGATTTTGGTTCAAATCTTTTAAATCAGGTGATTTTGGTTTTGTATATTTAGAGGAATGATAAAACTTGTACCATCACTAAAAAAGGGTAAATTAAAATTGCTTTGAATGATGGTGACATGTGCACGTTGAGTGAGGTGCGTTATGTTCCAGAATTGAGGAAGAATTTGATTTTTCTAAGTACTCTTCAAGTGAACGGTTATTCATTTCGGTCAGGTGGAAATAGAGATATCATGAGGGGTAACAAGGGTGCAATGACAGTGATGAGGGCAATAAGGATTGTGTGCAACATTTAAAAGTTGTTAGGGAGCACCGTTATGAGTGATGTATCATCTATTGAAATTGATATGCAACCAAACTGTGACATAGGTGTTTGGGTCATCTCAAGGAACGTTGGATGATGGAATTACATAAGAGGAATTTGTTGAAGGGTGTTTATAGTTGCACAATTGGATTGTGCAAGTATTGTGTTCTTGGGAAACAATGTAAAGTTCGCTTCAAGACTGGGTAATAGCAGACCAAGGAAATCTGAGACTGATGTTTGAGGGCTTACAAAAGAGCCCTTCGTTGGAGGTTTCAGATACTTTGTGACATTCACTAGTAATTTTTCTTATAAGGGGTGGGTTTATTTTATGAACTATAAATTTGAGGTCCTTGCTGTTGCACCCCAAAATTTGCTCAACCTTTTCTTGCCTGATTTGTGTTTCATTGCATTTCATTTGCATAGTTACATCATATACACAGTCTAATCATTTGCATATCATAGCATAGCATGCCTCCAACAGGGGATCAAAGGTGTCTATCAAGAGAAGAGCCTAGCAAGAGGTGTTATCTAAGATTGAGAAGTCATTCAAGCCATCAAGAAGTGATTTGAAGTCTTGCGAAGTTTGAGTGCCTACATGTGGGTTTTGCTCCTATCTTGAGGAATATTGAGAATCATCAGTGGGATGAGAAGCATGGAATGTGAATGTGAGGTGTGTATGGATCTCATGGGATGTCTAGAGGGCCTTATTGAAGCTGAGACAAGTCATTGATTCAAGTACGAGAGCCACATTTGAAGTGCAGTCAACTAGGGTTTCATCTGGGTCAACCCTAGTTCAATTAAGTAGTGGGAAAGCATCAAATCCTACCTTGAGGTCATGGGATGCATGAATTGGTATGTTGATTCATGTGTGGTGTTATGCCAAGGTTAAGCAAAGGAAGACCAAGAATGTGGGAAGTTGCTAAAGTAGGGTTGCAATGTAAAATCCCTTGTTTAGTACCTAACTTCAAGGCCACATAAGTCAAAATACAAGTTTCAAATGGATCCTTGGCCAACATAAAACTTGTAGAGCTTCTCAATACCTTTAATTTGAGTACTAGAAGTCTTCAAGAAGATTTGTGGAAGTTTTTTTTGAAGTTTGTTACCATCATGACATGGCTTCATAGTTTGAATTTGACGTTATTGTCAGTTGTTTTCAGCAGTCAACGGTTTCATGAATAGACTTCGAAGTTGTTTTTAAAGAGAGATTTCAGCGATTTGACGTTTTGAAGTCATTACTTGTTGTCAAGGCTTCACAATTTTGACCTTGGAGTTATTGTCAGCATTCAACAACTTCATAACTAGGCTTTAGAGTTGTTGTTAGGAGTTCCCTAGCGGGTGTTCCTCGCGTATATGTTATGTCAGCATGGCAGACTTCATAATTTGACTTTGGAGATCGGCCTAGTTTCTTTGGGTGGCTGTTATGTCAGCGTTACACGGCTTCAGAATTAGACTTTGGAGTCGTCGTTAGCGATTCCCCAACATAGTTTCTCTAGCAGCTGTTACGTCAGCATTGCGCTGCTTCATAATTAGACCTTGGAGTTGTCGTCAACATCAAACGACTTCGTAATTAGACTTTGGAGTTCTTCAGCGGTACCGCATCTTCATGATTAGATTTTGGAGTTGTTGTTCGAAGGTTTTGTCCGCATGGAATAGCTTCATAAGTAGACTTTGGAGTTGTTGCCATATTTTTCCCCACAGAGTTGCTTGTTGAAGTTTCTCTTATCCGGCCAGCGGAGTGTTTTCCAGTTTGATGTTCCGTCAGCGTCAAAGGGTTTCATGAATCAAAATTTCAGAAGCTGTCACCGGTTATCGAAACAGGCGTCCGGCAGTTCGGTTTCCAAATATCCCTAGTAGAGTCCTCCTCAACGTCGCTGTCACGTCAGCGCTAAAAGGTTTGTGGGTTGGGACCAATGGAGTTGGCTACTGCAAAGATAGGGCGGAGTTATTTTCCTGTATGATTGACAGAATTGAATTCCTATTGGGTGGAAGAATTCTATCCCCAGCGAAGTCGCCGGGATTTCTTCGTGTTGACGAAATGACACCCCCAGGAAAGTCCTTCGCAGATTTGCTGCCATGTCGGTGCTAAAAGTTTGAAGATTAAGCTGTATTTTGTTACCCATGGGATTGATGGAAGCCAGTTCCTGTAAGATGGGCAGAGAAGCTATGTTCAAGAGATGATTTTCCCGTATGAATAGGCGGATGAAGTTTCCTGTGTTTAGACAGATGATTTTCCCGTATGAATAGGCGGATGAAGTTTCCTGTGTTTAGACAGATGATTTTCCGTATGAATAGGCGGATGAAGTTTCCTGTGTTTAGACAGATGATTTTCCCGTATGAATAGGCAGATGAAGTTTCTTGTGTTTAGACAGATGATTTTCCCGTATGAATAGGCAGATGAAGTTTCCTGTGTTTAGACAGATGATTTTCCCGTATGGATAGGCGGATGAAGTTTCCTGTGTTTAGACAAATGATTTTCCCGTATGAATAGGCGGATGAAGTTTCCTGTGTTTAGACAGATGATTTTCCCGTATGGATAGGCGGATGAAGTTTCCTGTGTTTAGACAGATGATTTTCCCGTATGAATAGGCGGATGAAGTTTCCTGTGTTTAGACAGATGATTTTCCCGTATGGATAGGCGAATGAAGTTTCCTGTGTTTAGACAGATGATTTTCCTGTATGAATAGGCGGATGAAGTTTCCTGTGTTTAGACAGATGATTTTCCCGTATGGATAGGCGGATGAAATTTCCTGTGTTTAGACAGATGATTTTCCCGTATGAATAGGCGGATGAAGTTTCCTGTGTTTAGACAAATGATTTTCCCGTATGAATAGGCGGATGAAGTTTCCTGTGTTTAGACAGATGATTTTCCCGTATGGAGAGGCGGATGGAGTTTCCTGTGATTAGACAGAAATGTTTCCCCAGTGAAGTCGACAAGTTTTACTCCTATGATGATAGGATTTCTCCGTGTTGACGGAATGTGGAGTCCTAACATGGACAAAGTTTTAATTCTATGATGATAGGATTTCTCCGTGTCGACGGAATGTGGAGTCCTGATGAGGACAAGTTTTATTCCTATGACCATAGGATTTCTTCGTGTTGACGAAGTGTGCGTCCTAATGTGGACAAGGTTTGCTCTTGTTGAGGGGATTTCTTAGTGTTGACGGAACAAGCGTCCTAACGTGGACAAAGTTCTATTCCTGTGTTGTTGAGATTTCTTCGGGGTTGACGAAATGTGAGTCCTGACGTGGACAGATTTGTATGTATTCGTGATTTGACGAAATTTGGATCCAGATGTGGACAAGGTTACTCCTGGGACAACAGAATCTCTATTCGTGTTGACGAATTTGTTTCTCTTCTTGTGTTGACAAGGTCAGTCCAGTTGTGGACGGAGGTGTTTTCGCAAAAATTGTTCAGCACCTGTGGCGTTACATAGGTGGTTGATGTTGAAGTTAGAGTTATTATCAAACGTTGGATCAGTTGTTGTCGTAACGACCAGATTCAATTGGCG